GCACAACAGGTGTTTTGGCAGGTGTCATCTGTTGTACTCCGCGAGGACATTGTCAATCTTGTAGATTTCACAGAGAGGTTAAATAGTTGGCGTGTTCAAACTTCTCTTGACATGGATAAGATTAGGATGCTGACATTTGTGTCGTTATTTTGTCATCTTTATTACTCTTTCTTTTCGGAAAGTTGTAATGACGAAATGTGTTGCATATCAAATGAGATTCATGATTTTGTTCATTCACTCATGCTTCATCCAAGTGGAGAAGACATGCTGGATAGAATAAAGTATCATGGCCTCATGAAGAATATCACAAGTTATATTAGCTCACATAGCTATTCTGAACCAACCATGACCGAGGATCGTTTGGTTGAAATTTTAGATGCCATCCTCATGTTTCTACAACATCTACACAAGTGCTCTAAGTTGATTTTCCCATCAATAACGACTCCATTTGAGCTTCTTCAGAATGTATTTGGCAATTTAAGAGATTTCTGTAGGTTGAAAGTAAATGAGTTCCTTCATGAGTATAAGGCAATCGTATATGTCTTACCTCTTCAACTTATGGTGGAGAGAGTAGTAAACTTCTGTTTTACTCTTTTGTATAGTCAACTGGCCATATTCGATGAACTTGATGTCTCTCTAGTTAAATCCAATCTAGCTAATCTACTTGTGGAGGTTATTCCTGTTTCACTGGAGGTTATGCACCTATGTTGTACAAATTTGGAAGGTTCAAAGTCGGAAGAAGTTGGACATTTCATCAAGCAGCTCCTAGAAACCTCTCCGGACATTCTTAGAGAATCTCTGATTCATCTACAAGAGCGCATGCTTAATACTCTTACTCCTAGCGCTTCTACGTGTAACATTCATGTCATGATAGAGTTCCTACTGATTATTCTTACTGATGCACTCAAGGATGTTATTCGTCATGACAAATTGCTTGTTCTCTTGGCACGTGTTATACAACTTACCAAGGAGGTATTCGTTCTTTTTGGCAACTTAGAAAAGAGTATGAATGAAGCAAATCTAAATTTGATGGAAAATATTGAACTCCTCAAGGAAGATCTCAAGAATGATTTCTTAAAAGAATGTGCAGACTCGTCTCAGCTCCGCTTCCCCATGAGTGATGGACCGCTCTTCATGACTCTTCTACTCACAAACTTAAATGACTTGGTCAATTCCAATGCTTATCCAGTTTATTTGATAAAAGAAGAAATCGGGCGGGTGAAAGAAGACCTGGAAATCATAAGATCGTTGTTCGGGTATGTTGAGCAAGAGTTGCATAAAGATCTTTGGGCTCATGTTCTGGATGTGTCATATGAGGCGCAAAATGCCTTTAACTCAATTCTTGCGCGAGATCATGGTCTATTGCAGCTTATCTTCATACTTCCTGATACTGTAGAAAAGATCAAGCTTGTCAAAAAAGAGGTACAAGAAAAGATCCCCAAGAGCAGCGGTATAATTGTTGCAAACGCTCCTAACAAGCCGGTTGAAAGAAACTCATCGAGTACAGTTGGCAAAATAATTGTAGGTTTTGAGGAGGAGACAGAGTGGATAATTAGGAAGCTCACCAGCGGATCAGCTGAGATAGATGTCATTTCCATAGTCGGCATGCCTGGGCTTGGAAAAACTACTTTGGCTTACATAGTGTATAATCATAAGTCCATTGTTGATCATTTCGATGTTTGTGCTTGGTGCACAGTCGACCAGGAACATAATGAGAAAAAGTTGTTGCAGAATATTTTCAATCAAGTTATTGGTTTGAAAGAACAATCCAATGAGGATCATGACATAGATGATGACGTTGCTGATAAGCTGCGGAAACGACTATGTGGAAAACGGTACCTTATTGTCTTGGATGACATGTGGGATACTGAGACATTGGATGAGCTAATGAGACCTTTTCCTGAATTTCATAAAGGAAGCAGAGTGATTTTAACAAGTCGGAAAAAGGAAGTTGCTTTGCATGGAAAATGCCACAGTGATCCTCTTTATCTTCGATTGCTAAGATCAGAAGAAAGTTGGGAGTTATTAGAGAAAAGGGTATTCGGAGAAGAAGGTTGCCCTGATGAACTAAAGGATGTCGGAAAAAAGATAGCTCGTAAGTGTGATGGTCTTCCTTTAGTAGTTGATCTAATCAGTGGAGTCATTTCAAGGAATGAAAAGAAAGAGGCTTTCTGGCTTGATATTCTGAATAATTTGAGTTCCTTTATTTTTAAGGATGAAAAAGAAGTTGAGAAGGTTATACAATTAAGTTATGACCATTTGTCAGATCACGTAAAGCCGTGTTTGATTAGCCTTTCAACTTATCCAAAGGACAAAGATATAAGGATCTCTGAGTTGAAAAAATTGTGGATTTCTCAAGGATTTGTGGATCAGATTGAGATGAGAAGTGCAGAAGAAGTAGTGGATGAGTTAATCTCGAGTAGTTTGGTGATACCTTTTGATAATTCTATTTACAAAATTCATGATCTTGTGCATGACTTTTGTTATATAAAAGGTAGAAAGGAAAACTTGTTTCACTTCATAGAAGGTTCAAAAGCTCTGTCTTCGGATCTTATGCCACGTGGAATCATCATTCATTCTAATAGACATGTATTTCCTCTCGATGACAGTTTTGTGGTGTTTGATCGTGAAAAGAAGAATCCTTATGTTAAACACCTCCTCTATCTGAAGGTGTATGATAATTGTCTTTCCTACAAGAGTCACCTAAACCACTTTAGGCTTCTCAAAAGTTTGGATTTGGATTGCAGAAAATTGAAATATACTTTGCTGAATGAAATTGGTATGCTCCTTCATTTGAAGTACTTAAGCATTCAGACTGAGGCTAGCACTCTCCCTCTGTCATTTTCAAACCTCTGCAATCTAGAATCTCTGATGGTGAATAACGTGGAGAGAACATGCATGTTACTATCGCGTTGGTTTTGGAGTCTAACAAAGCTACGAGATGTATGGATGAAGTGTTGTGCTGATCCCTTTGATCCAACTGCTTTAGATGAGGACTCAAGGTTAGAAAATTTGACATCATTACATGATCTCTACCTTCCCGGTTCAGAAGACACGGAGGATATTATTTTCAAAAGGTTTCCTAAACTTCGAAACCTTAGAGTCTATATCAATACACAAATACCAGAGAATACGTGTTTTCCAAGATTGGATGTGCTTAATGAACTTGAACAACTCCTTTTATTTGTTTCTGCTCGGAATCCATTCCCTGAATATACACATGGCTTCCCTTTGAGCTTGAAGAAACTGAAGTTGGGAGGGCTCACTCTGACATCCGATACACTTTCAAGACTACCCAACCTTGAAAAACTAAGTCTAGAACAGGTAATCATCGACGAGGGCAAAGAATGGAACATGGAAAATGTCATTTTCCAGAATCTCAAATCTCTAAAATTGGTAGAATTGTCATTTTCTGAATGGAAGGTTGATGCAGAGAAATCCTTTCCCGTGCTCGAGAAACTATTTATAGATTCATGTGATAAGCTTATGGAAATCCCAGACAGTTGTGGAGATATTGCGTCATTACATCTTATCAAAGTATTGCACTGCCCTCAGCTTAAAAAGTCGATTTCCAAAATTAAGAAATATGTTGAAGAAATGACCGGAGAAGACAAGCTTAAGGCATACTTCTTTTTGTGGAGGTATGCTTCATTAACTTGTTACTATTTTTAGAATTGTTATGTGTTTTCCAATAGTACTTTTATACTTGTATGTTTTGTGCAGATTGAGCTAGCGCATACAAATCATATGTGAAGCGAGTAAATAAACAGAATTGTAAATAATAGGCTTGTTACTATTATGGTGATGTGTATAATTATAAGACATGACATATTTTATGTCATTAATTAACTTAGGCGATTGAAATCCGGACAATTATTTCTAGCAGTTAATTTAGACATTTTGTGGTTCTCATTGTCAATTTCATTACGTGATAAAGTGATTGTTTTGATTCATGAGTATTTGAATATATGACAAAGTGATCATATTAAATATTTTATTTAAATTTTGAGATTTTTTTTTTTTGTGTGTGTATTCTTAATGTTAATTACATGAATAAAGTAATCACTTTAAAATATGTGAGCTTCTTTAAGTATATATATTAGTCTTTAACTCTCAAGTTGTAAAATTAATCAAGTTTGTAGTTGAGGTCAATGTATATAATTAAAAAAACATGTTATAAAACAATATGGATATTCACTACACCAAAAAATTATTGCATAAACTTTTCCATTATGAAGATAAACATAAACTCCGTAACCTCCATATTATTAGCTACACATATACATTAAGAGTCATTTCGATCATTTTCTTTATATTAGTGAACATAAATTAGAGAAAGTAGTCGGTATATTTTGTAACTCATATATATATAACTATATTATTGATCGTTTGATAACTAGTTAGAGTCTTACAAGTATTACAAATGTAGGAATAGTCAGGAGTAAAATTTAGGTATTTTTAGCTATACATGAATATTATTCGTGTATTAATTATTCAACCTTTGATTTTTCATAAAATAATACATAAAATCCATCATAAATTTCTTCTTAAATACCCATCAAACATCCTATAAGTTATTTGAAAATTAATATATAAATAATTTATTTCTTGTTCAACTATCAGAAAATTTAATGAGATGCTGTTTATGTGATCCCTTATTAATAACCTCGTTACACCTGAGTCCTAACATAGTGTTGAATTTACCGGGTGATCTGAAATTGTTAAGAAAACAAACATAAAGATTTAACGAGATTCGTCCAAATCACTGATAAGTTCCAAATATGTTGTGCTAGAATATTGTGGATTAATTAGCACACTATCAAAATAAATAGAGAAAAAATTTTTAAAAAAAAACAGAATAATTTAACAAGATTCGGCCAACATTAATTCTCTAGGTAAAATCTAAGAAGCATAGACTGTACACAGACTTTACTTTTACCTAAAAGTTAAAGAGGTTGTTTCCGACAAACCCTTGACACACCAAACCTACTACAAAACAATAACATAATGTAATCCTACAAAATAAAATCTGAACAATGTAGATTGTACGTAGACTTTATCAGTACCTCATCGTTTCCGACAAGCCCTAAGCTCACAAAACTACTATTCCAATGAGTTTTCATATAGAAATTCAGTAGTTTTATTGAAATTTTGTGCCAGTAATAAAATATTCACCAACTGTGAATGTAGTTATTATCACATATATTAACTTAAATATTATTATAATGTTCCAAATTCAAACTTATTTTAACGAACACTGCTTACACAAAATACTGCATACGATAGAGAAAGTTTAGAAGTTTTGAATGAAGTCATAGATGTGTTTGCTAATCTCATGTGGCCTTTCTTGATTGACAAAGTGAGCTGCACCTTCTAAAACCACAACTTCCTCCAACAATGGAACATCATTCTTAAATCCACCATTGTGTATGTACTCTTTAGCACCTGGTATATGATAAACCAAGTCGAATTCCCCGACGATAAACTTGGTCGGAACTTTAAGTTGAGCCCCTGTCCATGGTGCTGTGAGTTCCCAGTTTCTACATCTCATAAGACGCGAACATTAGGATGCATGAATGAAGAAGTTGATCGCGAGAGTCTAAAAGCAACTAATAGCGTCTACGTTTGTTCAGACTCTTTAGAAATGCTACCGAGTGTGTTTTGGAGGATCGGCCACAAGTGTGCAACAATTTTGAGAGAGTCTGAGCAACATAGAGTAGTACGATAATGTTCATTAACTTCACAATTTTCTTGACTTCCTCGAAAACATGTCTTAAACTAAAACTAAAAGTCTCTTGACAAAGATCAAATGTATGCAATTGTAAATGCAACAACAAAATCCTTAATCCAAAATAGTCGAAACAAACGTGAACTATATAATCATACATGATACAACTAACGCGTTGAACAAATACGATATTGCAAAGGTGGGAAACACTTACATGGGTAAAGCGCGGTAATAGTTAACTCCACCAGTGAAACCAGTCTTCTCAAACTTGTTTGCATAGTAATCTAACTCTTCCTCAGAAAGCCACGATGAAAGGGCAACCGGAGCATCAGGAAGAGCTTCAAGACCTTTGCCTTTAGGAAAATAAAAAGGTGCAGTATCGCGGAATGTCAATATTTTCTTAAGAACAGACTTAGCACCAATTGGAGCAAATTCAGCTTCAATATCACCCGGTACCTGCAAGGTAAAAATCATAGTAAAGATCCCTATATCGAACACAAATGAAACGGATACAGAGATGAAAACAGAGAGAACCTGAAATCTCGAGATATAATGATCTTCCCCATATACAGCCTTTAGCCCCTCAACAGTATTCATATTTGGATTCCGCGGGAAAAAATGGACACTCGAATTCACCAAGGCTTTAACTTTATCTGGCCTAAAGAGACATAGATGCCAAGCAATTAACGCACCCCAGTCGTGTGCAACGACAAACACCTTTTCTTCATTAGGAGAAATGGCTTCAAGCAGTGCAACAACATCACCTACAAGGTGAAAAATACTGAACTTTGAAGGGTCGTTAAGGGGTGCACCAGTAGTATCTCCATAACCCCGTAAGTCAGGTGCAACAGCACGGTACCCACGTTCAGCTAAGTAGACCATTTGGTGGCGCCATGAGTACCTATTGCGGAATTTTCGGGATTAACTATCATAGAACCTTAAAATATGTCAACTCCTTTAACTATATACATATTAACCTTAGTTCATCGATATGAGACTGATGTCAGCAGTGGTGGAGCTACATTGTAGGAAGGGGGTTCATCCAAACCCTCTTCGATGAAAAATTATATTATTTATATATGGTTAAAATAATTTTATATAGATATATAGTAGATGTTGAACCCCTTCAGCTATTTCATATATCTATTTATGCAGATTTTGAACCCCTTTATTGAAAATCCTGATGTGTATAATAAAAAGATGTGACATATATTATATTGTAGTTAATTTAGAACATTGAGATCACAAACAATAAATTTTTCAAAATTTGAGTTGGAAATATGTAATAAAAACACTTATTCAGATGCTAAATTTGAAATATGTCGTAGTTTGAGTGTCGAAATTAATTTATTGGCAGGGATTGTTCATGTATTGCAACATAAGAATTAACGAGATTCAGGCAAGCCTAGTGAGACGAATTGTATAGTGCAAAATAATTCCAATTACAATTTTTCCTTCGTACGAAGTTTACAACACAATAATTTAACGAGATCCGTTCAAGATCAGTTCTCGAGGCAAAAGCAGAGAGAATTTTTCACTATGGATGAGCATACAATCCATATTAATATACAAATCTCATGTAGTCCCTAATTAACACAAAATATCTTGTTAAAAGGACGACGAATGAGAAAGAACGTTTTATGGAAATTGTCATGAATACATTTATGAGTTTCTAAAAAGAATTTTGTTCTTCACAAAATGATTTCCCAAACTTATTAGAAAACAATAACATACCCAGTATAATCCTATAAAACAGGGGTCTAAAGAGCACAGTCTGTATACAGACTTTACCCTTACTTAAAAAATTAGAAAGATGGTCTCCGACAGATCCTCGGTGCACCAAACCTACTAGAAAACAACAACATACCTAGTATAAAGTAGGGTCTACTAGAGCTTAGCACGTATACAGACTTTATCCTTTCTTAAAAGTTAAAGAGATGGTCTCCGACAAACCCTCAATTTACCAAACCTACTAGAAAACAACAACATACACAGTGTAATCTCATAAAATGAGATCTGAACAATGTACACTGTATGCATACTTTACTACTAACTCAAAGTTAGAGAGTTTGTGAGATCTGAACAATGTAGACTGTATGCAGATTTTATCACTACTTTATAGTTAGTTAGAGAAATTATTTCCGTCAGATCCTCGAGTCACTAAAACATACTATAAAATATAATATAATTTAGAATTTACAAAATTATTTCAAAATTGAAGCAAATAATACCAGAGCTCAGGGAATCCATGGATGAAGAGGATTGTTGGGCCTTGGCCTAATTCTGCTATGTGCATATTTAAGCCATTTACAGCTACCATCTTGTGCTCTATCTTATCCATTTTTTATTCTATCTTTTTCTCTCTGTGTGTGATTTTATTAGCCTTGGTGTTGTTGACAAGTGTAAGCAATAGCCTGTTATAAATACAAGTAATTGCACCAAATTTCTGACACGTGTCAATTTGACAAATTTATCATTAGATTGTGTCCAGAGCGATATTTTATTAAACATAAAAAATATCAACACGGATAAGTACAAGCAGAAAAAGGCTAAGCCTGATTTTACTAATCCTAATGAAGTATTTAATTTTTACTATCTAACTAGTGTTTATATATTTAAATTTTACAAAACTTTTTTGTGTTATTTTTAACAATTATGTATAAATAAATTAATCACTTAAAATATGTTAAGTAATCTCGATAAATTGTAAAAACTATAGAGATTTGTTATTATTGAAATTAATATGTATTATTAAAAAATATGATATATTTTATGTGATTAATTAAAACTTAATTAAATCATGTAATTTGATAATAGATATTCTTGTTCATTATTGATTTGATATTCGATTTATAAAATAATAAATAATGTATTTTCTAATTAATTAAACAAATATTATTGAAGATAAATTTTTGATATAATAAAAAAAGTAAAATTTTTCCATACAAATCTAAATTAGTTTTTCGGGTGATCAAGTAAATCGGAGCAGCTGAAATTCTCGAAATTCGATCCACTTTGAATTCCTTAAGATTAATATATGGTATCTCCAACTCACTTTTCTTGCTCGGAATCATAATTACGGCGAGTCGGCCGGAGGAACGCCGGCGAGTTTTCCGGCAAGGAGAGCTCGACCCAGTTCTACTCTCAGTAATATACACAGGCCCATAAGTTGTTCGGCCGGAAACAGTACGCCGGCGGTGGAAGCTGCCGGAGTTGAGATCACCGGCGTTGGTATTTTTCCACTTTATGAAGAACAGAGCATTTTTCCACCATTTTTTCCGTGGCTATGTTTTTTATTCTTCATTGGTTCTTTCAAAATCTGCTGTTTAAACAGTAATTAGAATCCCAAATTATTGAATATTGAAATAAATTTGATTCAAATTGACTAAAATTGAACATTAGAAGTATGTATATTATAACTGCATACTCATTACTCATTAGTTAAATAAATATTACTAACTAGCGGATTCTGAATTTTAAGTTTATAAGTTTTGAATTTTACGATAAAACAAGTTGATATGACTTTCGAGACCGATTCGCTAAATTTTAAGTTTATAAATTTTGAATTTTACGATAAAACAATTTGATATGACTTTTGAGACAGATGATTTACAAATTTATTAATACATCATAAAGTTTGAATCAAAGTTATTGGCTTTATCGAAAAACTCGTAAGTTATATAGTAGTGATAGTAAATGTCACCCAGTACCTAAGGGCGGAGTTATGGCCTATTTTGATAAACTAGATATTTTATGTACATATTTCGTAAGATGGATACTCGTACTTTCAAAAGGCTAAACAATACCTTTTTAACTTATTTAACTAGACTAGAGAAACAAGGATCAATTCTATGTGTCGTAGATATTCTAGATCCGTCTTTATTCGAGAAAGGCAACAGAATATCAAGAGAATTAAATATATTTTCGAGCTATATAAAGATTAAAATTAAAAAGAAGAGGGGATTTACCTGGAAATAATCGATTTGAGCGTCGAAGCCATAGTCGTCATCATTAAAATGTTGAGATTCTGCAATGGAGAAAATAGGGGACTTGTTTGACATTATTTTTTTATAATTTTAAATGGAAAAAGGGGGGAAATGAGGCGATAAAAGGACGAGGACGAGAACATCGAGAAAGGAAATGGGAATTTAAATGGGGAGCGGGCTAGCCGTTTGTATTTGCAACTCCTATTTAATTATTTGGATTTTTTAGTCCATTATGGAACGTTTGGTAGGGAAATAAATTATTTTGAATTAATATTGATGAGATAATAATATATGAATTAATTATTCTGAAACTATTGATTCTTATTTTTTATGATATTTACCTTTATATATTTTATAAATTTATAAATATATTTTTTCAATTAGAGCTCTGCATACATTTATATTTTTTAATTTTATGTGTGAACAAGTAGATAATTAAATTTATATAAAGTTGAATAAATAGATACATATTCTACATGACATCCTATATGACAATTTAAGTCATTTGTTGCGTTCTATTTATATTATGCTATGGAAGACTCGTGAGCTTATTTATTCAACTTTATACAAATTTAATTATATACTTATACACAATCAAAATTGAAGTGTGAACTGAGACTAATTTAGAGACCACATATATATATATATATATATATATATATATATATATATATATATATATATATATATTATGCCTTTTATAAATACTTTTTAAATTAGCTCGCCAAAATATAAAAGTTAAACTCTTGTATAAAAGACATAAACATAATCGTGTCATTTAACTTGGTCTCAGCTAGTATGTATGTTCCTCAACTTAGATATTTAAATTTTTGTAAAGTTAAACATATAGAAACACGAATCTTACATGAAATATACAAATCAGTTCGACTAAAACTCACGTGAGACGTGTATGTATACTTATTCAACTTTATATCGTTTCAAATCTTTACTTGTGCATATCCAAAATTAAAAATCATAAATGTCAGTTCAGATCAAGTTAAACGACGTAATAATGATTCATTTTAAACATTACAAAGTCATATCTATACCTTCATCAAACCAGATTCATATGGAACACCACTCAATCTAACCCACTCATCTGCCAATATAAAAACTCCAGGGGCAAATCCAGCAGCAATTTCTTTTCCAATATTTTTCTTATAACCCCTCCAATTTACCCTATTATTACTATTTGCCCCAATTCCCCTGTTTTCATACTCTGCATAAAACAGAGTATGCAGTGCAAAATCTCCAGCCCATACAGACCATCCTTGTGGATCAATAAATCCATCGATCAACGATTGCATTATGATCGTCCTCGAAAACTCCTTCCATGGTCGTCCCAAATACGCTTTGATTGTCGGTTGAGTTGATATAAACTCATGTTCAGCTCTAATTTCGCAGTTTTGCATAACAATAGCACCAACTCCGCGCCTGTCTTTCCTCCCCTGTGCTGTAACCATACACGCTTGATTCGCCATCGGTTTCCTGACGATCATCTTGCAGCTTTGGAACACGGATGAGGCGTCTCCGAATATGAAGTCTATGGTTCCTGTTATGGTGCAATCACGAAAGAATTGGCGATAGGCGTGGACGTATAAGGTGTCTTGATAACCATCGAATTGACAGTTGTGGAAAATAGCCTTATCTCCTGATACACGAAGAGCAACTGCTTGATGCTTTATTGCTCCTGCTGTGTTCTCGATTCCGATGTCCTTTGCCATGAAATTATCTCCATTGATAGCTTCATTACGAAAAGAAACATGTTAAGAGAATGAAAGTTTCGTTTTCATGTGATGGTGTTTGACTGGAATATAGTTACAAAAATATCAATGTCACGAAAGACTTTACTTTCGAACTTTAAATGGTTTTAACGACGTAGAAATCTTTCAGAACGTTATGAAAAGAGAAGAGTGTCAGATAAATTGAGACGGAAATGAGTACTTACCAACTGTGGCAGTTTGAAAAGTGCCAATGCCATCAGCAAAGTTCTTGTTACCAGTAATTTTGGTTTTTGTTGGGCCTTCACCAATAAACACAATGTGGTTCATTTTTTTTGGAATATCAATATACTCTTTGTAAATACCAGCCTTGATGAAAATAACAAATTTTTGTGTATTTTTTTTGGGCACAGCTCTAAGGGCTTCATTTATTGATTTATATTGTCCACTACCATCAATAGCAACAACAACATTGGGCTTTAGCCCATTGGAATTAACTTCATTGAGCATTCTTTCATGAGCATTTAATAACCTCCGGTTTACACCGGGGATCTTCAGGTTCAGGTCCGTAAGGACCTGACCGAAGCTGGAGACCATAGCTAAACTATTGCTCGTGAGCTCGCCTGCATTTTTCAATAGTTTCCTCATTTTCTCACCGGTTTCACCAGTCGTGTTCTCAAAAGCGTCCAGACACGTTTCCTGATATGTGATGGACGCGCTGAGCCAGGTTTTGAGGTCGTCTGCGTAGTCTTTGAACTTAGTGGCGTCGAACACGCCGATTTCATCGAACGACCTCCTCACGTCGTCGATCGCGACGTCGAGGAGGTCCCCGCACGTCTTCAACGCGTCTTTCGTCCGGGGATCTTTCGAGGCCTCGTTGATCAACAAGGCGGAATTTTTTATAACGTCAAAGAGATCGTTAATCGTGGCGCCAAACGCAACCTTAAGTAGGTCTTTTGGATCATTAGTGTTGTTAGCCTTAGCAAGACTTTTTACACATGTTTCTTTATAATCAGTTTGTTGACAAATAACATTAACAGACTTTGCAGAAGTTGAAATTTGAGAATCATTGTTATTATTAGATGAATTATCTTCATTCCTCTTGCTGGTAGTTGAAATGGCTGCTGCAACCACACAAGCCACTAGAAGAAGTGAAGCAATGCTACCAATTGCAACCTTGTTAACCCCCATAATTAATTTAAATAAAAAATATAAATATGGGGTTAAATAATTATGTAAGAGGCAAATTGCTCCCCCTTTTGCTTGAAATTTTGGAGAAAAAATGAAAACTATTTATAGGTATTTTTTGTCCTAATGGGAGAGAATAGAGTCCCCTAGTTTTCTTTGGTTGTGCTATAATTAAGGTTTAATCTAGGAATTTTAATTACAGGATTTTCTTGATTTATTCAATTGTTTTTTTTTCTCTACCACAAATTTATATATTTTTCTATTCAAATTATAAAAAGTAATATGGATATAGCAATGCATTAACAAGCCACTCCACAAACATTCATTGACAGTTGTGAAATTGTTGAAACAATTTTCACTATCAGTATTTAGATTTCTATATTTTACAAGACTGTGGTATATACAGCCTTGTATTTTTTTTTCATGCAGCACTTTTTTCGATTTTTATTTTATATTGTATTTCGCGATAGTTATACTATATAAGGTTTTCAAAGCCGGGATTTCCTTAGCTCAGTTTTCGCGATTGTTCCCAAGTGTACTTCATCAGGACCATCTGCAATTCTCAATGTCCTAGCAGTAGCCCAGAGATGAGCAAGAACAGTATCGCCGGATACACCAGCAGCACCGTGCACTTGCATTGCAGTATCGAGAACCATCAATGCCATGTTTGGTGCAGCGACCTGTAAGTCAAATGACTCGTGGTATAGGATTCAAAATAGGAACGGTGATGCTTATCGTGTAAAGGTTTAGTTATGATGGTCTAGCTCACCTTTGCCATCGCGATTGTAGCACGAGCCTTTTTGTTTCCGAGGCGGTCAAGCTGATCAGCAGCTTCCAGAACCAGTAATCTGGTTTTCTCTAGTTCAATTCGACACTGCAAACATCAATGGTAAATGCCATTCATGTAAACATTACTATAGAATTGAACGGAAAAAAAGAGAGAAATGAGCTTTTGTTTCCTGCGAATACTGTGCAAGCTTAAAGTTGGAGGGAAACTAACTTTGGCAACATCCGAAAGGAATGCACCGTGTTTGGCAATTAATTTTCCAAAAGCTCGTCTTTCAAGAGCCCGTTGAACCATCATCTGCATGCCGCGTTCGGCTGCACCTATTAGCCTCATGCAATGATGCAACCTTCCAGGACCTAGCCTACCCTGCAAGAATAAAATCAAAGCACTAACAAGTTTCAGATGATCATTCCATGTGCTGCATAGAGTTTCTCTTAACGAACCCAAAACATGCAGTTATTTGGGGCGGAATTGAATAATTAAGAGATACACGATGAGACAGAGGAGAGCACTTAGACAATTCACTTTGTGTACAGGGAAGTTTGCTAGCAGGAATTTCCCAGGGTGTATTACTATTTTATCATTTCAAATGATGTTTTCTTACAAGGATGTCCTAGTCAAGGAGATAGTCGCATTCTCTATTTGTTCTTTGTTTTCTCCTCCCCAACCTGTTTTTCCTTATCTTATCAAGAAAAAAAGAAAGTGATTTCTTCATCAGTAATACCACAAAACCTCATTTAATGTACTTTTCTAGGTCGGGGCAACTCAAAGGAACGTGCAAAAAGAAATCATGTTTGTTTAAATGAAATAAATTCTATATCATAATAACGCTAGAAAAAGACTCAAATTCTAAATGTATGATTCCTCAAAAAGCAAACACCTTTACCTGGGCAATCTCAAAGCCACGCCCCTCACCGAGTAGAATATTGTTCGCAGGGACGGATACATTCTCAAAAAATATTTCCGCATGCCCATGAGGTGCATCGTCAAAACCAAATACTGTCAGTGGTCTCTTTATCGTAATACCTGGAGTATTAATGTCTACCAAGATCATGGATTGTTGTTTATGCTTAGGAGCAGTTAAGTCAGTTTTTCCCTGTCATTAATTCAAATTAGCGATATCCAAGAATGAACAATAGAACAGAAGTCAATCATATTTCTCATTTGAAAAACGAACACTAACCATCACAATGAGAAGTTTGCACCTCGGATCCATGGCTCCACTGGTCCACCACTTCTTCCCATTGATGATATAAGAGTCTCCATGTCTATACAAAGCAATTTTTTCGCATAATTAAGTTTATTAAACACAACAACTCCAGCATATGTGGGTGATATGATCAAAATATCGATAAAAGCTAGAGTGAATGTAAAAACATAGAACAATCAGGCTGAATCTAATCCCTTTAGATTCATGAAAAAG